AAAAAAAAACAGCGTACATTTAATCGTGGCCAACTTGCGTGTCAATGTATTAGTGATAATTTAGCCATAAACTAACAGTCTTAACGTAATTGTGACAATTTTATGGGGGATTAAGCTTTAATTACAAACAATAGATTTTCGAAAAAAGGGGATTATATGACATTATAAATATGTTAAAAAATATGTATATAGATGATGGTATCTAATAATAAATTAATATGAATGTTACAAATATGTTGAAAGGAATGTTTAAAGCTCAATTAATAAATGTTTATTGGTTCATGTAGAGATAAAAGCGAAATATTTTATGCATAATAACGTGATTTATGTTGAAGTGGGGTAAATAAAGGGTTAAAACCCTTCACGGTCTTATTTATAACACAAAAGGGCGACTAAATTTTTTGAAATTTGTCATGAGGAAAGATAACATCTTGTTATTTAAGGCCCCTAGTATTTCAATTGTTCATTCTGTTTCCAATTTTCTCAAACTTTCTTTACGTTTCACTAAAGGTTAGAGTAGGCTACGGAATGTACAAAAAAGCCATGTGCAGTAAAGCTGTTTATATTCTGCAAAGTGTCTGGGTTCTAATTCGAATCTTCACATAGAATCTTTAGAAATGATCACCATCATTATGAAAACTATCATAAATTTCATTCGTAAAGCTTTGCTGAACAAATCAATTGCCATCCACAGAGATATTGCGATCATTTTGCGATGATCGCTATAGCGTCTTCTACTCGTCCCCTCGATTAACTCGTTATAGATTTTATAGTGATCTGGACCAAAATCGTTATTAAGTACATCAATTGAATAGATTCTTGAGACGAATATTGTCAGAAACATTTGTTAATTACAAAATTTGATACGATCATCAACACAAAGATCATGCGATCCATTCAAAAGATAGAAGCAAAATTTCCGAAGAAAGCGAAGAAAGAAAGAAATAAAATGAAGGAAGGATCGCAAATATCACAAGATCTATTTCTTATATATTACAAAAGATCTTTCAAAAGAAGATTTTTGTGAATAATTGAACGTTGCATACGTACCATCCAGTAATCATGGTACGAGAGAGTGGTGATCGATGATCTAAAGTGTTCAACTCAATCTAGATTCTAGAAATATAGACATTCTGTTAGGATTATCTTTAATGACTAATACAATTAAAAAACATTATAACGAAGGTGAGAGAACCATGACCTTGTATTCTTATGCTGAGATCAACTTTATGCAACCTGAGATCGTTTAAATTCATGCTAAACGACCTTCCACATTTTAGTGATCGTGTTATGAACAATTTCTTTGATACAAATTCGACCCCTCGGAAAAGCAATATATCTTGGAGATTTGTCAAGATCGTTATTATATATGTTCAAAAATTAAAAATTATCCGATAACAGATCATTAAGTAATCGATCTTTTAAAGTATATTTTCAGTTCGTGATTTGAATCATTCATGAAAAGCTGAAATTGTTAGTTATAAAACTAATAGCGATCGCGATCATTAAGACGAATATCATCAGATTTATTACCTATGTATATAGTACCAGAGATCTTTCAAAAGTTTCAGTTTCATAAAGACCATCAAATAATCGATCGTTTACTCTTTCCAATACACATTTATATAGTAGTACCAACAATAATTTAAAAAGTTTCAGAAAATAGCTTTGCTCAAGTCAAACAAAATTCAGTCAAAATGAATGTGAATAAACTTTGTGAGACTAATGAACTCCATGCTCGTATGGCATTCACAAGAGAGAGGAGATCGATGATCTTAAGTGTTCGATTAAATCTAGAAGGAGAGAGATCTATGATCTTATGTTCTTATGCTGAGAGTAACATTATGTAACATCCTCGTATGGCATTCACAAGAGAGAGGAAATTGATGATCTTGAGTGTTGAACTTAATCTAGAAGGAGATAGATCTATGATCTTATATTCTTATGCTGAGAGTAACTTATGTAACCAGAGATTGTTTAAATACATGTTAAACGATCTTCCACATTTCAGAGATCGTATGATAAAAATTGACCCCTCGGAGTAGCACTCTTAAGATCTTGTTAAGATCGTTATTATGTGACTATAGACTAGACTATAGACTGGACTATAAACTAGACTATAGACTAGACTAGACTAGACTATAGACTAGACTATAGACTAGACTATAGACTAGACTATAGACTAGACTATAGACTAGACGGTAGACTAGACTATAGACTAGACTATAGACTAGACTATAGACTAGGCTATAGACTAGACTATAGACTAGACTATAGACTAGACTATAGACTAGACTATAGACTAGAATATAGACTAGACTATAGACTAGAAGAAACTATAGACTAGACTATAGAGACTAGACTATAGACTAGACTGTAGAACTAGACTAGTAGACTAGACTATAGACTCGACTAGAGACTAAGACTATAGACTAGACTATAGATAGACTATAGACGACTATAGACTAGACTATAGACTAGACTATAGACTAGACTATAGACTAGACTATAGACTAGACTATAGACTAGACTATAGACTAGACTATAGACTAGACTATAGACTAGACTATAGACTAGACTATAGACTAGACTATAGACTAGAGACTATAGACTAGACTATAGACTAGACTATAGACTAGACTATAGACTAGACTATAGACTAGACTATAGACTAGACTATAGACTAGACTATAGACTAGACTATAGACTAGACTATAGACTAGACTATAGACTAGACTATAGACTAGACTATAGACTAGACTATAGACTAGACTATAGACTAGACTATAGACTAGACTATAGACTAGACTATAGACTAACTAGACTAGACTATAGACTAGACTATAGACTAGACTATAGACTAGACTATAGACTAGACTATAGACTAGACTATAGACTAGACTATAGACTAGACTATAGACTAGACTATAGACTAGACTATAGACTAGACTATAGACTAGACTATAGACTAGACTATAGACTAGACTATAGACTAGACTATAGACTAGACTATAGACTAGACTATAGACTAGACTATAGACTAGACTATAGACTAGACTATAGACTAGACTATAGACTAGACTATAGACTAGACTATAGACTAGACTATAGACTAGACTATAGACTAGACTATAGACTAGACTATAGACTAGACTATAGACTAGACTATAGACTAGACTATAGACTAGACTATAGACTAGACTATAGACTAGACTATAGACTAGACTATAGACTAGACTATAGACTAGACTATAGACTAGACTATAGACTAGACTATAGACTAGACTATAGACTAGACTATAGACTAGACTATAGACTAGACTATAGACTAGACTATAGACTAGACTATAGACTAGACTATAGACTAGACTATAGACTAGACTATAGACTAGACTAGTGGCCTCCGGTAGGTTAGTGGTTAGTGTTCTAGACTGGTAGACCGGAGGTGGTGGGTTCGATTCCCACCTGAGGCACTGGTTAAGGAGCGCACAACAGGCCCGATAGAGGCCTAGGTGTATTTCTTCGGATTTGATGTATATACATCCTCCTTTCAACTAACTAACTAACTAACTAACTAACTAACTATAGACTAGACTATAGACTAGACTATAGACTAGACTATAGACTAGACTATAGACTAGACTATAGACTAGACTATAGACTAGACTATAGACTAGACTATAGACTAGACTATAGACTAGAATATAGACTAGACTATAGACTAGACTATAGACTAGACTATAGACTAGGCTATAGACTAGACTATAGACTAGACTATAGACTAGACTATAGACTAGGCTATAGACTAGACTATAGACTAGACTATAGACTAGACTATAGACTAGACTATAGACTAGACTATAGACTAGACTATAGACTAGACTATAGACTAGACTATAGACTAGACTATAGACTAGACTATAGACTAGACTATAGACTAGACTATAGACTAGACTATAGACTAGACTATAGACTAGACTATAGACTAGACTATAGACTAGACTATAGACTAGACTATAGACTAGACTATAGACTAGACTATAGACTAGACTATAGACTAGACTATAGACTAGACTAGACTAGACTATAGACTAGACTATAGACTAGACTATAGACTAGACTATAGACTAGACTATAGACTAGACTATAGACTAGACTATAGACTAGACTATAGACTAGACTATAGACTAGACTATAGACTAGACTATAGACTAGACTATAGACTAGACTATAGACTAGACTATAGACTAGACTATAGACTAGACTATAGACTAGACTATAGACTAGACTATAGACTAGACTATAGACTAGACTATAGACTAGACTATAGACTAGACTATAGACTAGACTATAGACTAGACTATAGACTAGACTATAGACTAGACTATAGACTAGACTATAGACTAGACTATAGACTAGACTATAGACTAGACTATAGACTAGACTATAGACTAGACTATAGACTAGACTATAGACTAGACTGTAGACTAGACTATAGACTAGACTATAGACTAGACTATAGACTAGATTATAGACTAGACTGAAGGTTATTCTATAGTTTAGTCTAACGACTAGGCTATAATTTTTTGATGCAAAGGATCGTTGTTATGTATAGAATTTAGAAATAATCAAGGAAAGATCATCGCCAAACACATTCGAGAGATTATAGTAATATAAAGAGTGACTTTAAGTCAAATAGACAAGATAAGGTTTCCAAAAAATCTTGTGATTTAAAGAAATTTAAGTCAAAATTCCATGATTTAATAATCAAGACTAAATTTGATATATAAAATATGCCCAAAACCCGTATAGCATTTTATAAAAAAGATTAATTTACTTTTAGAATAACGTTCACATTTTACCATAACTATTTACACAAAAAAATCTACTTGAATTCACTTAAATTTAATAAATTTCAATTTTTCAATTTTATTACAAACAAAAATCCAGTTAACAACCCTTTAACCAACAAACTTTGTTATTTGTCTCTTTTATTTTAGTTACAACACCACTTCAATGCCATAAACCTTTTGGCCATAGACGAAACTTGACAAAAAAAAAAAAAAAAAAAACAAAAAAAACAAGAAAGCAAACGGAAGGAACTAGACAAAGGCAGCAGCAACGAAACGAACAAAATACACAAAAATGCCCTCAACATTTAAAGCAATTGATGCATTACCATCAGCAACATCATCAACGGCAGCAGCCGCTCTTGCCTCATTGTCAACAACATATCGTTACAATAATACCATACTGTTGCCCTCTTTAGAGGAAAGGCTACAAACACCACTCTCCTCCTCAGCAGCAGCAGCAATAACAACCTTCTCAATATCACCAACAGCAGACGATACAAGTGAAATCAATAGCTCAACTGGTTTAACCTCTATATCCCATGTAGCATCCGTGGTAGTTTCGAATTTCCTGCCTTTATCATCAACATCCTTATCCTCTAGTGATGACGACACAACGTCTGCAGATGACACAAATATTTCTTCTACCTCTACATCGTCAACAGCAACAGCAGCAGCGTCATCATCATTGCCATTATCGTCAACAACATTTTATCCCTCCTATAGTCCGCCAGTTGTTGAAAGTTTAGTTGCCAGTTCGGCTGAAGAGTTTAGCAATAATTTTCGGGATCTATCATTTGATATTTTCGATGACAATGACAACGATTTGTTTGGTTCACCATTGGCATTCGATGCCAGTGAAAATGGGCTATGGAATGGACGTTTTGTACCGCCACCACCACGACCACCCTTTTTCGTTGATGAACCGGTATTGAGTGATGGTTTGACAACATGTGATTTGTGCTCCTGGGCAATGCCAACAAAAAGTACATTTATATTTGAAGGCACAATGGGTAAGTAAAGAACAAAACTAAAAAGTAATCATCATTGTTGATGGTATGATTCTTTGACTTGTATGTACATAGTTAGTACTATGTTGTTGTTGTTGTTTTTTTACTACTTCCACATTTATTTTATTTTTTTGCGATATATGTTTTGTCCATTTTATTTGTGAGGCAATGACTGAGTGAATGAATGAATGGATGACAATGTAGAATGACTACTTGAATATTGTATGAATACTGGGGGCTTTACTGGCACCCATACAATAAAATGTTTTAAAAGTTATATGTTGGAATTTTTCTATAAGTTTGTTTCGTTTGTGTGGCATGCAACTGAAAAAAAAAACGGAAAAAAGTTGCACAAAATGTTTAAAACGACAAGTTTCAAACGTAAAATTAAATTTATTTGCCAATAAAATCAAATAGTATTGTAGATGAGTTGCTAAGGGAGTGTGATAGATGGCATAACAGGAAAAATGCATTTTCATAATAGAGGTGGACACGTGAGTGGATTTTGAATTATAGTCAAACATGTAGAATAAAGTGACAATTCTGTAACTCACTGTAAATCCTAATTCAATTCAATAAATTCAAACTTGCAACATAAAACTTTGCACTTATGAGCTTACAACTTTCATTGTTAAATAGAAAGTAGTTTCTGTGTCCCCTTTTCTACAGTCAAGGGACTAGTTAGTTGAAATCAGTTAACACACAACTAGAGTTCTTTGGTGTATTGGTTAACTCCCCAGCAAAAAGCGTACAATAGCATTTTAAGACATTATTTTAACACGATGATGTCTATGGAAGCATCACTACTCTCCAACTCTCTTATAAGTAGGGAGTTATATAAGTACTTACCACGATTTTTGGCAAATAAGGAGTTAAGTAGTCAGTTTTGTGTGTGAAAAAAGTAAAAATAGCCAACAAGGATACATCTACTACCTCTACTATTCGAAAATAAAAGGTCCAGATCAAAAACGTTATTATAAGTCATTACTAAACAACTTCTAAGTAATGCAGAATGAAAGCTACAGTTAAAGCTTACATTGAAAAGTAAGCTGTAAGTTAATTACAAGTCATTACCATGTTTTTCCACGCTCCTTTTAAATCATGCTTTCAGGATTTCAAATCTATTCACCTAAGCCTTGCATAACTCCTTCACCAGTCCCTCTCTCTTCATTTAACTTTGTGACTGATTGCTCATCTATTTAAGATTACGTCTGCTAGAGGATATAAATTTTTTTTAAATTTTTATGAAACACATTTTAAGCTTAACATTTATGTTCCTTTTTCCTCTTTTTTTTTTTGGAAATGCAGTTTTTTCTATATGCTACTCTTTTTTCGTATACAAATTTTAGTATTCAAACTTGCACACAATGTTGAAAAAGTATTTAAATGAAATTTAAATTCATTCAGTTAAACATATATAAAAAAAAACTAGAAAACAATTTTCTACAATTTTTTTTTATTTTTTGGGAATAAAATGCAATTCAATTTGTTTATAAGTTAAGCAAAAAAAAAAAAAGTTTGTCAAACTTAAATGACATTGAAAATTGTGAGAGAGAGAAAAATGATTAAATTCTGTTGGAAATTTAAAAATGAACTTGAATATTATAAAATTAAATTAAGTTAAATTTAAAACTGAACTAAAATTAACACGACAAATAATATACAAATTATTACTAGATAACTTCTTTAAGGCTTCTAGGGAAGCCAAATAGTAAGCAATTCTATTCTATTTTTTTTATAATCCATAAAAAGCTTATTAGTAGCTTTCAGGCAATACTATTTAAAAGATTTTAAGCTTCACACAGTTTTTAATAATTCAAAAAGCTTTTTATAAGCTTTACGCTTCACACAGTTTATGCTTCGCGGATCTTGTGCAAAACTCTCGAAAAATCATAGATCCCTTCTTGCCAATGTATGGGAAGTTTAGCTGCTTAAGAACTGTACACGATAAATTTTAACAAAATGTTTATAAATTTTTTATAATTTCAGAAAAAGCTTCCGAATTGGGGTGGCCCTTAACACTGACTATAGTTTCGATATTATCAGCAATTCTTGGAGCTATTATAATGATAGCAGTAGTCAAATGCCGAAGGTAAGTGATTAATTTTCTAAGATATTCTAAATATATTCTTATTAAAGTTTAAGATTATAGATATAGACAACTTAATAGTGCAGTTCTCATTGTAGTCTTGACTAAAGTTCAGAAAAAAACTAAAACTATAGTAGAAATTTTAATCCAAACTGTATTCTAAACTATAGTTCAGGCTATAGTCCATAATATAGGTTGGTTTTTAGTTCAGACATTTATCACTATATATACTATAACTAGTTCAACATATATTTCAGTATGAAGTTGAAACTACAGATCAAACATGGTCCAAATTATACATACTGATGTTCTACAGTCCAGATTAAAGTTTAGACTATAGTTCTGACTATAGTATTAACTATGGTCCAGACTTCAGTTCACTATATTGTCTAGTTCAAACTATAGTTGGGATTGTAGTCGAGACTTTTATCAGACTATAATACAGACTACAGTTGAGACTGTAGTCCAGACTATAGCCAAACTATAGTCCAGACCATATATCGGACTATAGCTCAGACTATATATCGGACTATAGTTCAGTCTATAGTTCATACTATAATCCAGACTACAGTTCAGGCTATTGTCCAGACTATACTTCAGACTGTAGTCCCGACTGTAGTACAGACTATAGTTAAGACTATAGTTCAGACTATAGTCCAGACTGTAGTTCAGACTATAGTCCAGACTATAGTTCAAACTACAGTCTAGACTATAGTTCAAACTATAGTCTAGACTATAGTTCAGACTACAGTCCAGACTATAGTTCAGACTATAGTTCAGACTATAGTTCAGACTATAGTCCAGACTGCAGTTTAGACTATAGTTTCGAGTATAGTCCAAACTATAGCTCAGATTATAGTATAAAATTTAGTACAGACTTAGTTATAAACAATAGCTTAAACTAGAGTAAAATTTTTAGTTCAGACAACTGTTAAAAATATAGTTTACTACATAGACTAGAGCTCAGACTATATTTCATTAAATAGTTCAGAATACACACCAGACTAGTACCCTCCCTGTAGCTTAGACTATAGTACAGATTTTTGATCAGACCATTTTCCAAACTATATGATATATAGTCCATACTATACTTCGTACTCAAGTTCAGACTATTATGCAGACAAAATATCAGACATTAGTTATAACTATAGTTTAGACCATAGTCCAGATTATAGCTTAAAATATAGTTCAGATAATATTTCAAATGATGGTTCAGACTTTAGTTGAAACTGTAGTTCATACAGTAGTTAAGAAATGTATACTATATTCCAGACTATGCTTTAGACTAGATTATAGTTAGGATTATAGTGTTGTCTATACTTGGTTAAGACTATAGAACTGTTAATAATTTTAGAGCAAATTCAAGTGGTTAGAAAAAACTGACGTCCCAAACTTTAAAATAGAAAACCTCCCTAGTTTACAATATTTTTTGCATCAATTTTAACAACATTTTTTCCCCTCTCTCTTTCTTTCTTTTCACCACCTTACAGAAAAAAGACATCACATCAACGTAGTGGTAAGTGTCAACATCATTCTCCCAAACAGCAACTACCGCTTCCTTCTATCGATCAGCATAATCATTTGCAACAACAGCAACAACATCTCAATCATCATCATAATCATCTTGATCATGAAAACATAAATCAACATCATAATCTATTCTATCCTCCTCCAACAATTGCAACTGCATCACATCAATTTCTTTTGCAACCAGCAGAGGCAACCCAAAATTTTAAGCAATTACCGTTGAACAGTCACCACCACCAGTTACAGCTACAGCAGCAACAACAACACCATCACAGTCACAAACGACCCTTAGGAATGATGCATCATATCCAGCAACAACAACCGCAACGCCCGCAGCAACAATTGGATCATCATTTGCATCATCATCCGCGCACCGTAAGCTCTTCATCTTCCTCGAACGATAATAGCAGTAATTGTACAACACAAACCAGTCTAACGACACTGTATCAAACGAAATCTCACAATGAATTGAAATCGTTAAATATTGAAAGAGAAAATTCAATGCTTAAGCGGCCATTGCCACCTAGACCCGATGAACGTAGCGTAGAAGAGAACGAAGACGACGATGATGAGGATGACGAAGATGTAGACGATGATGAAAGTCTAATGCCGGAGCATTATGTTTATGAAGAGCCAACCATGCAGGAATCAATAACGGCTGTTGTGGTGGTGGCTGCTTCTGGCAATGGCATGGGTTCTTCTTAAAATCAAAATTAAACCAAAATTTCCCCTCTATTTCCACATATACTCATACCAAAAAAACCAAAAACTTAACAAAACAAAAATTAAAAAAAAATCATAATAAAATTTGGTGCTTAAACTTTTTACTTTGTTCTTCTCTCGTTTTCGTTCAGACACGCATGTGCAATGGTGGTCACGCAATAAACGTCCGAATGGCAACAATAATCATTTGAGAAGAAGTAATATATACACGGCCCACCCAGCGGATAGCATAAGGGGCCTACAACAGCCCAATTCATTGTCAGCCTCATCGTCTATGACAGCAATGACAACAGCCATGACTGTGGCTCCCACAGCTAACTCTACGACTACAACACAAATGCCATATTATCATCCACAGCAAATACAACAGCATTCGCATACCCTGCCAGTTCAACATGTTCTAGGCAACCAGCAACATCAGCAACAGTATTTGCAACAATTTGAACATGAACATGAATATCATCAACCTCAAGAGTTACAATTGCAGCTGCAACCACAACAGCAACTACAACCATCATCTCATTTTAATCATCCGCATAATCATCATCATCATCAGCAGCAGCAGCAGCAGCACAATAATAATATTCTCCATCATCATCATCAACATACACAACAGCATCCAGGAGCATCAGTAGTAGTTGGTGGAATGTTACAGCATGGACCACAGCATCAACATAGTGCGTCTATGTCTTCATCGTCAACAAATTCAATGCCCTCATTGTCAACTCAGCCTTTGCAAATGCAAATACCAGAACAAATACATTTACAAAAGTCAAGCAATCAACCACAACATGTCCACATGCAACACAACAAACAAAACAACAAACAACAACATAATCATCATTTGCAGCAACAACAGCATCCGCATCTGCATCACCAGCAGCAGCACGAACAAGATCTAGAGTTAGAACAGTCATCATCAGATTTACATGACAATATGTTCCACTGGCCTACTGCGACATCAATCGTGACCAGCTGAGTAGTGGAGGCTGCAACTGATGCAGCTACATGACAACAAAAGCACCAGCAAAAGCAACAACAACAACAACAGCTAAGACTACAAACACCACAATGTGAACAGCATTATATTGGTCGTAGTGGTGCTGGTTGCGGTGTTGGTCTCGGTCGTAGTATTAGTGGCGATGGTAGTAGCTTTGTTGTTACTGAAACTTTGGACGACGTTGCTGATGATGTTTTAGCCCAAACAAGTGAATTTGAATGGACACGAGCCAAAAATTTTAAAAGTCTAAATAATGACTGGATTTGGCAGTGAAAAAACTACATACATACATATATTCGTACAAAAACTAAAAGGCCATTTACCTTAATAATACAATTAGAAAATAGAAAAAAACGAAAAACAAGTAGAAAAGTTTTAAATATGCTAAAAATTTAGTTTTGGTTATTTTTACTAAACAACAAGTATTTAGAACATTAGGTGCTGTGGAGTATTGTGTAGGCTTAGTATGTATTTATCTAAAAAAAATTAAATGTTTGAAAACTTTTTTACACTCGGAGATGAAAATCGATTGACTTTAAACACAGGTAATTGAAAAGATTTAATACAAAAATTATATACTAATTTGAATTTAATGAAATTTTTCTAAAAGTATTCTTTAAAGAAAGCTGATCTTGCTTTTTACCTCAATTGCAGCAAATTATTTAGCTAAACATGAACCTTTTTAGGAATTTGGATTTGAAATTTCGGTTTTCCAAACCGACCAATTAAAAATTTCTTTAATTTTCAACTATTTTGGACTATTGGTTTCTTCCATAGGTTAGTTGATAGTCAGTACCGAGGTTGTGGATTCGTTTCCCAAATAAGACTCTAGTAAAGGCGAACACAATAGACCCTATATAGTATTTTTTTCGCATTTCATGTAACACACCTGCTACTTGGAAACTAACTAACTATTACAATTTTGGTACTTGTATGTATGGAACAGAGGTTCATTTCTCTAATTGAAAGTGAATTAGGAGTCCGCTAATCTATAAAACTATTGGAAACTCTGCATATTTCGAATTCAAAATTCAGCCCATAAATATTATGCTAAACTTTAACGGCATTTTATGTGAATGTTAATGATCTACATCTTTAGTTTTTGAGTAATCCAAGAGATAGAGAGATCAAGAAGTCAAACTTGTCAAAACTCGTTTTAGTTATTGAATCGTCTAAGATTGATCAAATGAATAAGATGTACAATTCAGTCGTCACTTCTTGGTATGCTGATCTAGAACTGAAATATAACTTGAATTTTACGTCTTAGCAATTTGGCCCAGATGTAGAACTCATCGAAACATATTTCGGTATACGAATTAAATCGTTTCCAAAAAGTTTTAGATTTTGAACCATCAATTTCCTTTTAAAAGTATTCTGAAGTCCATGCAAGCGAACTATAAGTTTGCATAGGTCTCATGATCGCTGTAAAGATCAATCTCTTTTCGATGATTTTATTGCAGAATCCAAAGGCTTATAGAGTCTTATCTAATCTACACGAGAGATTAGAATTACAAATTGCAAAAGCCAACAATAAGTCTGAATAGTTCTCATGATCACTGTATAGTTTCTTCACTTTTCGAAGATCTCCCTACGAAAATCTAAAAGATTTCTACGAGAGATTAGGAATTAAGATAACGACTAGATATTTGACTGCTAACGAAATTTTTTTCAATTCTACAAATGTGGACCAAACTTTCGTGAGCATTTCTCATTTGTTCTTCTTGCAACTGAGACTGAAGGGAAACATTGAACATTGTGTTAGTGATTATTCTTATAAAGCTGGAAAAATACTAATAGATGCGGGAACTTAAACTACTGAGCAAATACTAGAAGGTGTCGGTAACTACTTTTATCATTTTATATCGACCTATTAGGTGGAAAAATGCTAATAGGCCCCGGCTACAACTGACCAGATAGTATATGCCCATATTATTTTTTGATTAGTAGTCCGTAACTACTTTTATCTTTTTATATCGAACTTTTCTCAGGTATCATTTTATAACAGTTGCTCTAGACGTGATCTAATCACATGAGTTAAAGATTAATTCAGGGGTAATGCAAGGCTCAATTCTTTCTCCTATTTCTAAATGATCTTCCGATTCCCAACCCCATCGACTCTTTTGAATAAGACAACATTCCATTCCTATTAAGGCAATATGAATGTCTCGATTTTACCAAGATCAATTAACCATCTCTGAATAGGGACCTGCTATTATAGATTATTCCAACTCAATGTTGAGTTTTAACACGACACAATCATGCTGCTACGTCTCTATTAATGGGTGGTGTATATATTAAGTAATCAGGAGCTCTTGATGTTCCGTCTGTGAAAATATATGCCCAAAACATTCGCAGTATCCACCACATTTTTCAAGTGAATCCACCTGATCCACTTTTAAAAGTAACGTCACAATGTGTCATGTTCTATCGATACTACAATGGAATATGTTATACTCATATTAGTACGCGATACTCGCAGCACAAGTCTTTCTTCAAGAACACACCCATTTGTAGTCCATTTGCCTTTGGATCGCACAAAGTATTACAAAGAAAACTTTTTTGTTCTTCTCTGTGACAAGTTCTGAATTTAGGCACCGATTAGGGAAAATTACTTTCCGTGACGTTCGGATGTGTTGGCAAAACATACTTAATATTCAACACATTTATCAAGTGATTTAAGGAACTTGTTCCCGATACTCGCATCACAAGTCTCTCTTCAAGAGCACGTCCATTTGTTATCCATTGGCCTGTGGATCGGACAATGCATTACAAAGAAACTCTTCTTTTATTTGTTTTTGTTTCTGCCAAGAGTTCTTAATTTAAGCACCCGTGACGTTCGGATGTACTGCCTAAACATGCACAGTATTCAACACGTTTATCAAGTGATCTGTGTGATCTTAAGAATTACACCGAGATCGAAAATAAAAAAATAACTCTCATTCTCGAGGCTACTCGACCTCATAGAGGTAACGAACTTTATTGATTTTCTGGAGCAACGTAAAAATGGAATGCGTTACACTGAAATTACAGATCTTATTCCCGATAATCGCAACATAAGTCTGTCTTCAAGAAGAGATCCATCTGCAGTCCATTACCAAGTGGGTCGCATAATGCATTACAAAGAAAACTCTCTCTTTTTGCCTCTGTAACAAGTTCTAAATTTACGCACAAATTATACTATGATTCCATTGTGGCTTCTAATTGTAAGTTACCAACCGATTAGGGAAACTAACTTCCCGAGATGTTTAGATATGTTGGCATTTTCAACATCCGAAGGTGTGATGCCATCATAACAAGTTTTAAATTTAGGCAGACATGGTTCCATGATAACCTTCTGGTATTTTATTACTAAAATAAACCTTTTAAAAGAAATCCCTGAAAATCGTTAATTCTCCACCTTTAAAAAACTAATCTTCATAACAAATTTGATAATAAAAGAATTTACGTCTTTTACTTCTCCGAAAAAAAGTGTGTAAAAAAGTTTAATTGACATTGTCTAAATTTTTGTTTAGTAAAACAGACAGCACCGGAGAAAATCTCCCCTTTCCTGCCCAAAAAAAAAAGTGAGTGAAAAAGGTGAAACGTAAAATAAAGTGTCTAGAGAATTATTTGCTAAGAAAAAGGCAAAGAAAGAAAGAAAAATCATGTCACGTCTTGTCCTTTATTACATTTTTTTTAACAGCATTGTAGAAATTTTCATTATTTCGTAAAAATTTATTTATTTTATACCCTTAAAATAAATTAAAAAAATAAATAAATAATAAAAAAAAACTCAAGAAATCTAAAAGGTTGTTAAGGTCATCAAAAAGAATTTAATACAAAACGAAAACTTATTAAAAAACAAAAACAAATTCACACCTAAACACAGAGAAAAAAGAAACAAAAACATTCCAAATTATTTATAAAAAACTTAAATTAAATTTAATTAAAAAAAAATATATATAATAAAACATATCAAAATATTTAATTCATATTCTATGTAAATAGCTAATTTCTTTCTTTCTTTTAATTAAACAAAAATTAAAACAAAATAATTTCATAAAAACAAACGTCCTATTTAAAGAAAAAACAAAATCAATTTTTTGCAACTTAAACATTCCTTTAAAATTAAAATTAATAATAAAATAGAAAAACAAAATACTTTAAATAAAAAACAAAAATGTTCAAGTTTCTTAAAAAAATTTTCTTAATTAAAGCTAAAAAAAACAAACAATTAAGTACTTAAATTAAAAAAAATTAAAATAAAACATAACATAATGCAACAACAAATACTATTAAATTAAAATAAACTTTAAAAAAATAATATTATTAAAAAAAAAACAGAAAATAAATAAAAAACCAGCAGCAACAGAAAAAAAATGTTCCACCTAAACAATTCAATTTAGTTAAGCTTACTAAAGTTAGGTAAAGGCCAACAAAAAAAAACAAAAACTTTGCTTTAACGAAGAGTGAACAAAACGCTCATTTTCTCTGTGGAACATTTTCTTTATCAGCTGTTAATTTTATTTATTTTTTTAACCCTTAATCTACTATTATTATTAAAACAAATATTTAATTAATTAATTTTGTATTTATTTTGAAACCAAAGACTAGTCCACAGTGTGTGTTTTTTTATATTTTTTATTTAAACATTATATATATAATTTGTAAAATATTTAAACCACTTGTATATAATTATAGTTTTAATTAATTCTTTTTATGGCAATATATTATTATAAATAATTAGTTTTTTTTATTAATTAATAAGAAATTTTTATTATAAGTTTTTATGTTTTGTTTATTTTATAATTAATAAGTTTTGTTAAAATTACAAATTTATAGTAAAAAACAAAAGAAGCAGACAAAAAAAAACAAAACCTAAATGAAACTCTTAAAGTTCCAAACTAAAGAAAAGCAAAATAATAATAAATAAACAAACAAATCGATAAAATAGAATTTAATCAAATTTCAAATAAACAAAATAAAAAGAAAATTATAAAAAATAATCCAGAGAAAATGTGTTTTTAAATAAAGGTAAGAAAACTAAGCTAAAGGTAAGTAGTTTTCACAAACCAAAACGTCTAATTAAAGTCAAAATCGGAAAGGTGTAAAACGATCACAACTTGTAAAGTATGTAATTGTCATAACTCCAAGTCAAGACTATAGACAATTCTATAGTCAAGACAATAGACAGTTCTATAGTAAAGACTATAGACTGTTCTATAGTTAAGACTATAGATAGTTCTATAGTAAAGACTATAGCCAGTTCTATAGTCAAAACTATAGACTGTCCTATAGTCAAGACTATAGACTATCAGACTTTTCTATAGTCAAGAGTATAGACTGTTCTATAGTCAAGACTATAGACTATTCTGTAGCCAATACTACAGACTATTATATAGCCAATAATATATAATAGTAGACTATATAATATAATACTAGACTATAGTCAAGACTATAGAATTTCTATAGTCAATATAGACTAGACTATAGACTAGACTATAGACTAGACTATAGACTAGACTATAGACTAGACTATAGACTAGACTATAGACTAGACTATAGACTAGACTATAGACTAGACTATAGACTAGACTAGACTATAGACTAGACTATTGACTAGACTATAGACTAGACTATTGACTAGACTATAGACTAGACTATAGACTAGACTAGACTATAGACTAGACTATAGACTAGACTATAGACTAGACTATAGACTAGACAATAGACTAGACTATAGACTAGACTATAGACTAGACAATAGACTAGACTATAGACTAGACTATAGACTAGACTATAGACTAGACTATAGACTAGACTATAGAATAGACTATAGACTAGACTATAGACTAGACTATGGACTAGACTATAGACTAGACTATAGACTAGACTATAGACTAGTCTATAGACTAGACTATAGACTAGACTATAAACTAGACTATAGACTAGACTATTGACTAGACTATAGACTAGACTATAGATTAGACTATAGACTAGACTATAGACTAGACTATAGACTAGACTATAGAGTAGACTATAGACTAGACTATAGACTAGACTATAGACTAGACTATAGACTAGACTATAGACTATAGACTAGACTATAGACTAGACTATAGACTAGACTATAGACTAGACTATAGACTAGACTATAGACTAGACTATAGACTAGACTATAGACTAGACTATAGACTAGACTATAGACTAGACTATAGACTAGACTATAGACTAGACTACTAGACTATAGACTAGACTATAGACTAGACTATAGACTAGTAGTTCACTCACAAATGCTGTATGCAGCACCTATAATTGCATCAGCTTTGAAAAGAAAGTGTGTAATCACACAACTGTTAAAACCACAGAGAGTTAGTGCCCTAAGGGTAATATCAGCGTACAGAACTGTGTCCACAAGTGCAGCTTTAGTTCTCTCCGGAATTCCACCCATTGACCTCCTTATATTGGAGCGAGAAGAAATATGGCAAAGATTGAATGTAGCAACAAGTCTAGACATCAATACGCAATATATTAAAAATGTAAAAGAGGAAGCAAGAAACAATCTGCTAACAAAGTGGCAGGAACAATGGGAAGCAGATGAAAGGGGTAGATGGACCCATAAACTGATACCAGACATTGAAAGCTGGATAAAACGAAAACACGGTAGAATGCACTACTATCTAACACAAATACTAACGGGACATGGAAATTTTAACTCATATTTAACAAGATTCAAGACAAAAGAGAATATATATTGTGAAGACTGTGGATCCCAAGAAGATACCGTAGAACATACTCTATTTCAATGTGAAAAATGGAACCAAATGAGGAGATCTTTATATGAATATATTGGAACTATATTAACTCCGTAAACATTGTTTCGGAAATGTTGAAATCCGAAGAAACGTGGATGAAGTGTCAAGATTTTATCACACATATAATGAAATGCAGATCTGATCGCAACGCCGAACCCCTAATCTCATATGAGGATGGGGGAGTAGGATAGCGATATATAAAATCGTCTGCCCCGATGATATGCGAAAGTGGTACCGGGGTGGGACGGGGAGGTATTCGTGGGGCCACTAGTTGATAGTGTACTATCTCTAAGTCCTATAAAAAAAAAAAAAAAACTATAGACTAGACTATAGACTAGACTAGACTATAGACTAGACTATAAACTAGACTATAGACTAGACTATAGACTAGACTATAGACTAGACTATAGACGACTATAGACTAGACTATAGACTAGACTATAGACTAGACTATAGACTAGACTATAGACTAGACTATAGACTAGACTATAGACTAGACTAGACTAGACTAGACTAGACTAGACTAGACTAGACTAGACTAGACTAGACTAGACTAGACTAGACTAGACTAGACTAGACTAGACTAGACTAGACTAGACTAGACTAGACTAAGACTAGACTAGACTAGACTAGACTAGACTAGACTAGACATAGACTAGACATAGACTAGACTATAGACTAGACTATAGACTAGACTATAGACTAGACTATAGACTAGACTATAGACTAGACTATAGACTAGACTATAGACTAGACTATACACTAGACTATAGACTAGACTATAGACTAGACTATAGACTAGACTATAGACTAGACTATAGACTAGACTATAGACTAGACTATAGACTAGACTATAGACTAGACTATAGACTAGACTATAGACTAGACTATAGACTAGACTATAGACTAGACTATAGACTAGACTATAGACTAGACTATAGACTAGACTATAGACTAGACTATAGACTAGACTATAGACTAGACTATAGACTAGACTATAGACTAGACTATAGACTAGACTATAGACTAGACTATAGACTAGACTATAGACTAGACTATAGACTAGACTATAGACTAGACTATAGACTAGACTATAGACTAGACTATAGACTAGACTATAGACTAGACTATAGACTAGACTATAGACTAGACTATAGACTAGACTATAGACTAGACTATAGACTAGACTATAGACTAGACTATAGAACTAGACTAAGTAGACTAGACTATAGACTAGACTATAGACTAGACTATAGACTAGACTATAGACTAGACTATAGACTAGACTATAGACTAGACTATAGACTAGACTATAGACTAGACTATAGACTAGACTATAGACTAGACTATAGACTAGACTATAGACTAGACTAGACTATAGACTAGACTATAGACTAGACTATAGACTAGACTATAGACTAGACTATAGACTAGACATAGACTAGACTATAGACTAGACTATAGACTAGACTATAGACTAGACTATAGACTAGACATAGACTAGACTATAGACTAGACTATAGACTAGACTATAGACTAGACTATAGACTAGACTATAGACTAGACTATAGACTAGACTATAGACTAGACTATAGACTAGACTATAGACTAGACTATAGACTAGACTATAGACTAGACTATAGACTAGACTAGACTATAGACTAGACTAGACTATAGACTAGACTAGACTATAGACTAGACTAGACTATAGACTAGACTATAGACTAGACTAGACTATAGACTAGACTATAGACTAGACTATAGACTAGACTATAGACTAGACTATAGACTAGACTATAGACTAGACTATAGACTAGACTATAGACTAGACTCCGTAGTAAATGAGAACCTATACATTGTTTTGGAATTTTAAATAATATTGTACGTAGAAACATGACATTAAGCGTGTAGAGCACGGAGTAAGTGAGAAGATATAAAAGGGGATTTTTTGATACTTTTCGTTCTTCAAAAAGTCCTTTTTGCATTTTCTATAATACTTTTTCTTTTACAACATGTATTTTTTCATCTTTTGTAATGAAA